TCTGGGTATATAATAACAGAAAAGGAAAATGGGATCTCAAAGAAATATACACACTCTGGTTTTCACTATAGAATCATTTGCCATAACAAGGAAAGGGAACAATCTAAGTGTCCTGCAATAAATGGATGGAAAAAAATTAGATGGAGAAAAATATCTATGTATATACATACATATGGTACATATATCATTTCATGCAATCAAATTCTCAATCGTGAGAAAGAAGAAAACCTTGAGGACATTATGCTAAGTAAAATAAGCTAGACAGACACAGAGGGTCAAACTCCTAACAACAGAGTAAAAAAGCAGCTAGGAAAGTAGCTACCAGAAGCTGGAGGAGGGATAGAAAGCTGCAACTATGAAAACACAGAAAAGAACAATTCCAGAAGGTAGCCTACCTGTGACTCCGGAAGTTGCCAGGAAGCTGGAGGCCAGATTGCTGCAATCATAGCCATCATTTGGATCTCTTAGTCTCCACATGATCTATGAAGTCCCAAGTGAAGATCTCAGCCTCTCCTGCAGCTGCCCGGGACCAAGGTTTTGGTGACGAAAGGTTCTGTTTTCCCTCATTGGGATATGTGAGTCCAGCTCTCATCAGAACCTACATCTTTTTTTTTTTTAATGAATCACCATGAGACACAGTTACAGACTTACAAACTTTCATGATTACGTTCCAGTCATACAATGATCGAGTACCCATCCCTCCACCAGTGTACAGTCTCTACCACCAATGTTCCCAGTATTCCTCCCACCACCCTCCATTCCAATTTCCCTCCCCCCCCCACTGCCTCTATGGCAGGCACATTCCCTTTCACTCTCTCTCTCCCCTTTTGGGTGTTATGGTTTGCAATACAGGCTGTGGGTGGCCATACTGTTTGCAGACCCTACATCTTGGTCCCAATATGAGGAAAAGATTTAGGCTGCCAAGCAATGAAATTGTCCTCTAAATTAACTGAAAGGGTTAGGAGTCAATACCCAAAATGATGTCCTGCAGAATCAGAGAGGGAGATCGGGAGAGGAGGGAGGGAGGGAGGGAGAGAGAGAGAGAGAGAGAGAGAGAGAGAGAGAGAGAGAGAGAGAGAGAGAGAGAGAGAGAGAGATTCCTGGCTGTCAGAAACACTTTAGATAATAGTTCCTCCATGGAATATAATACCTTCCCACATGGGTATCTTCTCCCAGTATCCTAGAAATACCTTTTATGTCAAAATCTTATCACAAGAATCCTAAGAGCTGGAATCTAGAATTACGTTCCCCTTCCTCCCGCCCAAGACTGAGCTATAAGGAAGTTGGTAAGAAGATCTATTTTCTCCCTCAAGTCAGCTGTCTCCTGTCTGTGACTGATACTACACACAACAGTGAAGCATCTGTGTTTCGGGGAAACGATGTGTGAAAACAGTTTTCAAAAATGCAGACTGTCTACAGAAAAAGAAAACCCCAAATATGGTGGGTTACCACTTTGGAGAACCGACTGAATTTGGCTGTGAATGGGAATCTAATTGCCACCCATTTCTCTGGGAGCCTTCTACGAATATTGTGTTTCATTTAACTAGAGAAAGAGCCACATTAGCATGATGTCCTTGTGGAACTTGTTTTTTAAAAATTAACTGGTTTCTTAATAATTTGCATTTCTTCTTGACAGTCCATTAGAGAAAAATAAGTAAAGCCACAAGTACAAAAACTGTCATTTGTTTTGGCAGAGAAGAGAGGAAACTTTATACTCAAGTGTTACAAATAGCTACTTGTATTTGAATTATGACTACTGATGATTTCTCTTATTCATTTATAATCAGAGAAAGCTTTCATCTGCTCTTGCTACCATGGATTGCATAAAAATATCATCAGCAGAGCTGAACTTAAGGGTTGTCGGACCCACGGGGCTGGGTTGTAGGAGCTAGAATCACTGTGCCTGTTGCAGAAAGTCTTTTCAATCCTCCATCTCATCACGCAAGAGCAAACAATGTATTTCTGTAAACTGGGGAGCTTGATATGATGGGAAAAACCTTGCAGTTTTTCTTCTTCGATAACTTAAGTCACCAGTTTCCATCTGATGGTCTGTTTTTGATGATCTTATAAATTGTTTTGATGAGCAGCTGTCAAAGAAAAGTTTGGCTAATGAGAGTTTCTATCATTAAGGTAAAAAACACACAAAGCTGCCAGATTAATATTTCTAAAGTGCAGCTCCAATCAACATTTGCTCTGATTAATTCTAATGTCCCTGCCTCCGTCTCTAATTAACGCTTGAGTCGCATCCTTGGACTTCAAGTGTCTTCACCCTATAGCCTATTCTCTGTATGTTTAGTATAAAGCAGGTCAGGGGTAGTTAATCCAGGATGCACATAAAACCACCTGAAAAACCTTTTTTTAAAAGATCAGTGTTCAGGGCCCATTATGTGCTAATTAAAAATTAATCTGGGGTAAAGCATAGGTATTATTTCATGTTTCTACTGCATTTAACTAGTTCAGTCCACAGTAGTTAGAAAAAAAAAGCTTATTTATTTATTTATTTATTCTTTTTGGGTCACACCCGGCGATGCTCAGGGGTTACTCCTGGCTCATGCACTCAGGAATCACTCCTGGTGGTGCTCGGGGGACCATATGGGATGCTGGGAATCGAACCTGCGTCGGCCATGTTGGCTGCGTGTAAGGCAAACGCCCTACCCGCTGTGCTATCGCTCCAGCCCCTATTTATTTATTTTTGATGTCTTTAGATTTATTTGTACAGAACACTGACTTTTTTGCTGGGGGAACACCCTGCAGTGCTCAAGAATTACTTTTGGCTCTGCACTCTGGAATCACTCCTGGCAGGCTCCTGGGACCATATGGGATGCCAGGTATGGAACCTAGGTCAACTGCATGCAAGGCAAACGCCATTCCTGCTATACTCTCTGTTTGGTACAGTGAACATTTTTTTTCAATACTCCCAAATTCTGAGTCAAAAATTCAGACAGGTTGGACGAATCATGCAGGGGTTAAGTCCTTTGCTTGTACATGGCTGACCTGGTTTGATTCTTGGCACCCGAATATGGTCCCGAGCACTAGCAGGAGTGATCCCCGAGCATGACTGCTGTTGGTCCTCAAATAAGCAAACAAACAAATTCAGACAAGGTACATAGCAATGAGGGAAATTAGAGTCCTGTCTACATTTCAAACAGACTAACTAGAGGAGCAAATGCTTCCAGGGATAACTGAGTCTAGGTGGCATGATATAACTACTGATTGATTCTGAATGTCATAGACTTGCCATATAACCACTGTGAAATGTCCTTCAAATGTGTTCATGTCCTTGAGCTAGCCTAATCCTTGCTTCTTAAATGGCACTGCTTGAGAATTTCTGTTCTTGGTCTTCCTATCAACTACCTGCAAATTCCCCTCCCCCATCAGATACCCTATAAAATGATGTTCTTTCCTTTCCTCTTTCTTTTTACTTTTTCTTCCTTTTTTCTTTTTCTTTCTTTCTTTCTTTCTTTCTTTCTTCTTTTGGGGGAGGGGTACCCCAGGCTCTGTGCTCAGTGATCAGTCCTGGCCAAGCTGAGGGGATCATATGTGATGCCAAGGGTTGGCTGCATGCAAGGCAAGTGCCCTGCCTGCTGTCCTATCTCTCCAGCCCTAAGGTGAAACTTCTGATTTCTTGGCAAACCAGTCTTTGGAACAGGAAGTCAGCTGGGTCATCCTGAGTAAGAAACCTAATTTCTGCCCCATTCTCAGAGCTGGCCGCTTGGTTTTAGCTGGCACATAGTGAAAACATCCTTGACAACAGCACTGCTGGTGTGTGGCTTCGCTCTGTGCCAGCTGGGGTCTTAACCAGGGTGGCACAAAGAGCTGGGCATGACTCCAGTGGTATTGAGATCACCTGGAGAATGGCTTCATCAATCAGGTATTCGCTGCATAGACAAGGACTCAGGGTTGGACTCAACTAGGCTGCCACATGCCACATGGTCTGGAGAGGAGACTGCCTTCCACACAGCAGGGGCCAGGGATCAAATTTCTTGCAAGAAACCCCACACTCTAGGAATAAGCATGGTCAAAGAGGGTGAAATGGTGAGGCCTTTCACCCACCTAGCAGTAGAAGAGACTCACATCACTTTTGTTTTCATTCATCCCAACCATCACAACAATCCTTCAGGGGCAACCTGCCTATTCTCCACTGGAGAGTGCCACTGAATTTCTGGCCGGGTGTTAAAATTGTGTGGTCATCCCTCTCTGGCCTTTTCAACTACACAGATAGCACTGAAAAGTGCCGGGTGCATTTCCTGCAAACAATTAGTGTCCTTCATTTTGTGCCTTAAATGCCTTCCTCTTTCTGAGTCCAGGTGAGCTGCCCTGCAGCTCCTTGGGGTCAAGGCAGGCTGGAATCCTTGGGTCTCCTTCTTGAAAGCTCTGCTTTCAAACCTGGGGTGAGGGTGTGGGACTTTGCATATTCACAAAGACTCTCCGGGGATCCATGGCTACAGGTTGGAGGGGGCGGGGGAGGGGAACAGCCACATTCCAGCCTGGACCCTCTGAGGTTATCATCATTTTCCCCGGTAAGGAAAAACGGCTGCTTCAAGATTCAGCCACTTGTTAGAGCCCAGAAAACAGATGAAGTCAATCCCAGTGGTGGCTCGCCCAGAGCTTTCCAAATTCCTCGCGGACCTAAGGCCGACCAGAACACAGCCCTTAGCCCACCGGCCTGTCTCCAACAAGTCTGTTTGGGGGTGGGGTGGGGGAAACGCTCGCTCTTCGCTCTTTCATGCAGTTTCCAGCACAGTTAGCGCAGGGCTGCCGGGGAGAAAGAAACAGTTGCAGGTTCCCCCAAACCTCCGTCTCCACACGTTTCTCTCCAAACGCGGCTCCCTCGTCGCCTGTGGCCTTGCCTTGGGGTCGGCTGGGCCCCGCGGCGAGGCCGGGGGTCGGAGCCGCACCCCAGCGCGGGGGGCTGCGCGTTGCTAAGAACCGCGCGGAGCCCGGCGCGGGCGAGCAGGGGCGGCGCGCGGAGAGCGCGGGGCGCGCGTGGGAACGCGGGGCGCGCGGGGCGGGCGGCTCGGCGGAGCGCGGCTCGGCGCCTGCTGCAGCGGCCGCACCCTCGCCCGGCCGGCCCGGCTGCAGGATGGAGGACTCCCGGGAGACGTCGCCGTCCTCCACCAACTCGTCGCAAGAGCTCAGCTCCGCCCTGCAGCTGTCCAAGGGCATGTCCATCTTCCTGGACGTAAGTACCCGAGCGGGCATCTGGGTTCTGCGCTGCGGGGAGGAGGGTGGCCCCCCGATGCTCCTCTGCCAGTGCTGGCCTGGGGTCCTCACCCCCTTAGCCCCCAGACCTCCCCCCGCTCACCCTCCCGGCCCCTGTCTGGCCCCCGGGACCTCCCCGAGCGAACGCGGGCGCCGGGCACCCGACAGCCACGCAACTTGGAACCCGGCTGTCCCGCAGCTGCAGCGCGGGGCAGAAAGTTCCGATTCCCCCCCATCCCCCCACCCCCGCTACTCCCAGTCTCGGAGCCAGGCCAGAGCTGCTCTGTCCGTGAGGGTCGGTTCCGAGGACCCCGCCAGTTTGCAGGGGCGAAGGTGTCCTGCGCGCTGCCCCCAGCCCCTTCCCTGCGCTGTTGTTACTTTGCAAGCAAGCACGTTGACCGTCTTTGCTTTGCTCGCCTTTTATTTTATTTTATTTTATTTTATTTTTTACACCGAGACGGCCAGGCTCTCCTTTAAGATGGTTCTGTTCTCGCTGACACCTCCTTCCCTCCTGTTTTTCTTCCCTGTTCCTCGCCTCCCCGGTCCCCCTCCTCCGAAGTGCAACGACTAGTGTCACGTTCTTCACTCCTGCCTTTGGGCTGCTCCTCCACGGGTCCTTCTGTATCCAAGACTCCTTCCTTCCATTTGTCTGATCTGAGGATTTTTCTTTCTTTGACCGCCCCACCCCAGATTTCTTTCTGTGCTGTGGTTTCTAGCCTTGGAGCATATTTTTTTCTTTCCTCTCCACCGCCCCCCCCCCCCCCCAACCTTTTACTTTCCTTCGCTTCCCTGCTGTTTCTGTCTTATTTGCTCTCTCCCGCCCAGGTCTTTTCTTTACCTTTTGATTCTGTGTTTTTTCTTGCCTCCCTGGGCACCCCCAGTTATCCCATCCCCGCTATGTCCAGGAGGGCGAAGGTGGGAATAATTCTGGTCACTTCTTAGAATTCTGTTTGGGCAACATTGGGAACTGGTGAAGGGGATTAAGGAAAGGAGTATTGAACGTTTGTTCCTCCCTGAGTTATGTCCTTTGAAAATCAAGATGAGGACCCCAGAGGCTATGCGTATTTGTGGAAAGACAAAAATTATGGGGAAATACGATTCTCAGTATCAGTGGGTGAAGCAGAGCTGAGAGGGATGAACAGAGAGACCCTCCTAAACCTATTTTCAATGTTTTTTTTTTTTGTGGGACTCTTTTTGTATAGGGAACAAAACCTAAACAAAAAATTAAAACCTGCTCTAAAGCCAGGGTTAGTTAATGATGGGGATAATGCAGAGTCAAATCACCTAGAAGATGTGTCTGGATATCCCGGCATTCTTGAACTGCCAAATCTTCCCACCCAAATCCAAGTGTTCATTCCCATTTTCCCATTCCTTCACTCTGTAGGATGGATTACATTACACAGGAGCAATCAACTCTGATTTGCTTGGGTCAATTAGATGGTGTTATTGGTGCTAATGGTTTAACTGTTCCCTTGAATTCTGGCCATTCCAGATCCAAAGCTCCAGGAGAGCTGAACCTTTGCTCTCCTGGGAAGGAAATCCTCCTGGGCCTGAATCCCAGCAGTTTAGGGGGTCAATAGCTAAACTGCTGGGAGTTGACTCTGAGACCACCTTCCATTCTTTCTCACTTCTGACACCAACTTCCCTGTGGCCCCTAGATCACGTGCTTTTTAAAAAGTGGCTAGTAAATAGTAAATTCTGGGGATGCTGTGAGGATGAATGCGTTGTAGCTATCTCAGTGAAAAAACATCTTCCCTGAAACACATACTAAGCTTAGCCCGAGGGTCCAAACTGTGACTTTTTTCTCTTTCTTTCTTTCTTTCTTTCTTTCTTTCTTTCTTTCTTCCTTCCTTCCTTCCTTCCTTCCTTCCTTTCTTTCTTTTTTTCTCTTTACCATTTTTTGGATGAGATACTGTGATTTACAATATTGTTAATTCACCTTTTTGGTCATGTCATTCCAACACCACACCCATCAACCAAGCACCCAGAATTTTGTCTCAATTCTATAGAAATAAACTCAAGATCTGAGGTCTTTTTCCATTTATTATTCCATTACTCAACTGTAAAGAGAAAATAACATCTCATTGTATATTCATGTATATAGGTTTTTGGACCACAACTAGTGATATTCAGGGAATATTCTTGGCTCTGCCCTCGGGAATTACTCCGGGCAGAAATTTGGGGACCATATGGGATGATGGAGGCCCAACACGATTGGCTACATGCAGGGCAACCAGCCTACTCACTGTTCCTCACTCTGGTCCCTCATTTCCTATTTTATATACATTATTGTTCCCAAATTTTGCAGTTCTAAAGCATGAAATTCCTGTCCTGAGGAGATGAACATTCTCTAAACTGGAACTCTTGCTTTTCTATATCTATTTCTAGAATTCAAAAATAAAAATCTGGGTTCATATGAGAATGAGAAGTGTTAACATGCTTGTATGTTAAAGTCTAAAAAAAAATAAACCCTGCTGTTGGATGTTTTTCTCAGATACAAAAAATTTTGTTTACACTTTTCTTCAATATACTTTGTGAAAATTCTACAACTCTAGTGAAATAAGGAAAAGGTTTTTTAACCTAGGAATTTTGGAATTTTTATTTCTAGATCATATTGCTTTTAGCAGAAAAGAAAATGTAAAATGCAATTTTATTTGATTACTTTTAATGTATTCTAATAGCATCGCTAAGGAAGATTGCTTTTTGAATTCTATTCTGATTATAATAAATAGGTGACAAATATTTCCTATTCCAAAGAGTAGCACAAATGTTACCAACTAGAATTTTCTTTGTCACACAGACCAGTGTCCAAATTTCAGCAAAGCTTTGATTTCCAGGGTTTATATTCTAATTCCAATGAATAATTAATCTTTCAAGACATCTTTATGGTTACTATTATTGACATGAGTAGACATAGTCAGCTGGTAGAAACCAGCCATCACCAGAAAGTCAGAGAGATTTACCATGTATACGGCCTTTTGCTTCTTTTTTTTTTTTTTATCTCCAAATCCTTACCAGTAAGAAGTGTGACACGAATTCTAAAGGTGGTTGTTGTGAATATTAAATAAGACTTCTTAGGGTAGGAAGCTGGAAATGTACATTTCCATTTCCTCCTCAGCTTCCTACTATATATATATATATATATATATATATATATAGAGAGAGAGAGAGAGAGAGAGGTCTTTATCCATATATATGACCTTTTACCATTATATCAGTGTTCTATGCCAAATCCATAAATAACCAGACACAGTAACAACAAAGTCTCCAATGGAGACGTTACTGGGCCCGCTCGAGCAAGTCGATGACCATAAATAACAATAGCCAAAATCCAAAATCAAAACTAAATATGGGGCCTGTTTCTTTACTTGGCCATTTTAATTGCTTTTTCTTCCTAAAAGAATGATTTCATTAAGTCCCAGTTCACGTGAATATTCTCAAATATCTACGGACGCATTTGGTAGCCTGGTGCCATCACCAAAGCTTGTCCCTGTGTTAGTGCAAAAGTGGATTTTCCAGCGCTGGTGGATCCTTGAGAATTGCGTGAACATCTGCATACAAAACTCTGAAGATTAAAAGCATTTACGGCACAGTTGAAGAAGCTGGGAAGGGTCCCTCCCCACACGCCCGGGCTTCCCCCTGGCCCGTGGGCACCATCGCTTGCCCTAGCACTGCCCCGTCCTGCCCACGCGCCCACTCTGCTCCAGGCCTGCGCGCTCTAGCCCAGCTGCGCGCTCCTACTCTGGAATTGTGTCTCTGGGACCTCCCTGGCCTGTGTCCCCGAAGCCGTGTTCTAGCTTACCCTCACCGGTGGCCTCGTGCACATGGATGAGACTCCTGGCCTCGCCTGGATCTGAACTTCCCTGGACATACTGGCTTTTGCCTGGATTCTGTCTGGGCCTCTGATGCCTGCTGCCCTCGGCCATTCTGTCTGGGTGCACAGCCCTACGGGGTCCTGCAGTCTGCAGGCAGTATGGGAAGAGAGAAGGGGGGACAGGAGGGGAGAGAGAGACAGAGACAGAGAGAGAGAGAGAGACAGACAGACAGACAGACACAGAGAAAGAGACAGAGAGAGACAGAGACAGAAAGACAGAGACAGAGAAAGAGACAGAGAGACAGAAATAGACAGAGATAGACAGAGACAGAGAAAGAGACACAGAGAGACAGAGAGACAGAGCCAGAGACAGAGAGACGGAGACCGCTGAGTGTCTCCTTTTATCTGTTGCCATCGCCCATGTGCAGCCCTCAAATTTGGTTGACTCCCTGTTCCCGGGTGACATTGACGGTGACCGATCAAATTCACCACTGTCCACTCTGGGCCCCTGAGTCCAGAGAGCAGCTTCATGGAAGGACGAGGAAGGTGACAGTTATTTTCTTCTTGCAACTAGTCCCCAGGTTGCTGCCTGGCTGCATATCAGGAAGAGCCCCTGTGGGTGTTTAGACCCAAAAGGGGCAGCAGGGAAGAACATTCAGCCCATGTTCCAGCGCAAGGGACATTCCAGATCAAGTTCACTGCAGCTTTGCCCACATCTCTTCATTGCCTTTACCCAGACAGTGGGCTGGAGTGATAGCACAGCAGGTAGGGCATTTGCCTAGCAGGTGCCCAACTGGATTCTATTCCTCTGCCCCTCTTGGAAAGCCTGGCAAGTTACCGAGGGTATCCTGCTTGCAGGGCAGAGCCTGGCAAGCTCCCCATGGCGTATTCGATATGCCAGACACAGTAACAACAAGTCTCACAATGGAGGCGTTACTGGACCTGCTCGAGCAAATCGCTGAATAACGGGAGAACAGAGCTACAGTGCTACCCAGACAGTTTTGCTGTGTTTTTTCTTTCTGTGGAGCATTTGTCCTGAACTACCATACCTGGAGGTGCTCAGGGACTATTCAGGGCTCTGTTCTCAAGGGTCATTCTGAAAGTGCCTCCAACGTCACTGTCACTAATCACTCAGTCACTCCGCAGGTACCCTGACACTTTTCCTA